GATGTTGGCTATTGAAGAAGAGAGAGAGAGATCCTGGTGCTCTCTCAGCTTTATACTGAATATGACATCTATGGGATGGAATACTCTGTTGGTCAGGTTTGGGTCACCTGTCGGGTTTGCTCCTCCCTGCAGGTGCGACCCTTTTTCATGCTTGTGACCCTTTTCACTCCCGGCACCGCAACATGGAGTACAAGATTTAGCAGTGACCTTGGTTGCTACAAGAACAAGTATGAGCAAGTGCGCCTCTGCACACCTTTCCTTGGTACGAACTATAAACATCAGGCCTTATCACTGCTAGGAGCAGTCACTGTCTGGAAAAACATGCTGCTGTTTCAGAAAATGCCGTTAGTTAGAGGAGACTTAACTGAAAAGTTAAAGCACTAAACCAGAATTAGTTCTGATTTAGCCCAAACCAGGACAGCAGGGACAGCCAGAAGCTTTCAGGTGGAATTGAATTTTGTAGGAAAGTGCCAAATCTTAGAATCTGAAGTGTTTTGTAGGAACACTCTGGTGTTTTGACTATAATCAGGGAGTCACAGGCAGGTTTCTCACAGAGTTGTGCTTGTCAGGTTTCCAAATGGACTGTTCAAAACTTGGGCTTCTCCACCATGTGGCCTGCCTTAGTCACAAGAAGCTATTGGTCCTGGAAATTCTGTTCTGGCTGATGCTTCCAGCATTTTGGCTTTGGATTGTACATCAGGAAGAAGTACCGAGAAATCTAGATCATGATGTAGGTCTCTAAGCAGCTGGCCTCCACACCCCAGCATCTGGAAGCTTTTGATTTCCAGTCTGCATTTTCAGAATGTGCTGAATCCAGACTGCTGGCAAAAGCACTGGGAATATGGAAGTTTGGAAAGAAAAGAACAAACAAACAAACCAAACAAAACAAACACATCACCCCCCCCCCCCAACCACCTCAGACTGCTGGGCTGCTGTGGACATTTCCGTTGGCTGAAAACCTGATGGTTTACAAACTTACGCAATCTGGCTTTTTTGCTCTACCCAGTGCCCTAGCACAAGTTCTCTGACTATCAGCCAGTTACAGTGTTTGGCAGTAATTATAGGCTGAATTAAAAGTATGTGCTGAGTTGGCTGTGGGAGAGCTCATGTTGAGTCAGTGTCTGCAGATCCTTATTGATCAATAGAGTATTTGAGGTTGATATTGTATACTCTCCCAGCAAAGACTGCCATGTCATAAATACCTGAATTTATTTTTAAGACCACTGCTGTTAAATGGTGAGGAAAAAAGAAAGGGAAAACTAAATTCAGAGGGTGTTCATACATAGCGCCCTGATTTGTGGAAGTGTGAATGGTAGGTTTTTCTGTAATACTGTCTTTGATTACAAGACTGGCACTCCTAAATATCATCTAAGCTTTAAGCCCGAGAAGAGATCTGTTTGGAGTTTGTCAAACTGTATCGAGTTCAAAGGTTGTAGAAAATTGTTCTTTTGTTTATCTACTGTGGCCTTAATTTTTTTTCCTTCCAGTTTGTACTCGATGTCATTTAGTGTCACTGAGAATTTTGTGTCTGCATAAAATGCTCCGCTGGTTCATTGACAGAAAGCAATAGTGAAAACAGCCTTTAAATTTACATCTTTTAATTTTTTGAAAAACAGTCTGTGCAATAATTACTGATTTTTATTTTTGCATTTTTAATATCTTCCAACATACTTCAAATCCTCAGGCAGAACGTGCAGCTCTAATAGAGGAACTTGCTGCCCTTCGACAGAAAAAAGAACAGCTAAAGGCAGAAATAGACAAATACAGAGAATGTGATCCAGACGTCGTTGAAGAAATGCGTAAGTTGTATATTGTTTAAAGTGAACTTTTGTATGAAAAGGTCTGCACGTCTTTAGCTTAAAATCTGGTATGCAGAGATACACCAAAGAATAGCTGCTTTTCTTTTTAAAGCTGTGAGCAATACAATACAAGTACACTGACTGTTTCTTTTCATGTTCTGTTGTGCTATATAAAGGGTTTTTATTGACATTTACTTTGCCAGGAACAGAGCAATTAACAAACAATCCTAAAATTGAAATATTCTGATGCTTTAGAATTAATAGTAGGACCGTTCTTTCTAGAACCATATTAATTCTATAACTTCTAAGTGTGCTGAACCCTAGAATGTGTGTAGGAAGGGCTCCCATTTACCTTCAATTCCATGCTGGCAGAACAGGTATCTTTCGACTTGCTTTGTCTTGTCTGTTTAGAATATAGGAATTTCATTAGAGTCACTTTATTGTCACTTATATGTAACTATGGTATTACTCTGTTGGCTTACTGGTTGTACTGTCCCTGACATGCTGGGTTTTGGTTGGAGTTTCTAATTCTAATGGAATATGAGGAATGATGAGTGACTTTAATACTTAATACAGAATTGGGCACTAAAATGTACTTAATATTCTGATCCTTAGCATGAAAAATGAAAAGCATGCGTGAAATTTTATTGAATTTTCTCTACTTCAACTCTCATGTTTTATTTATTAAGCTGCTATGTTGCTACCCAAACACCGCTGCATATTCAGTTACTGTAATGTCAAAATGCAGTTACATAGTGATGAGGAACAGGCACAGACCTTTTTCTGAGAAGATACCTGACTGAATCTTTCTCTTTCCTTCTTCTTCTAACGAAGTCCAAAGGTTTAGAAATGTGCTGAGAGAAGGCCAGGAACATAAACAGAGTTGGCAGCTCGCCCCAAAATTGGACAGATACTATTTATTTTGAGCGGCTGTGTCACTTTTTTGTCAGCTGCGTTATCTTTCCCCAAGGATGTAATGGTATGCCAGGGAATAAGCAAACTCAAGACCTGAGGTTAGTTACTGTGCTGTAAATCCCTCACTGCGTGCTCCCTTGAGGACAAGTAACAGACACATTCCAGCTGTGAAAATGAATGAGGTTAGGCAGATACAGACAGCAGAGAGATCTGTAGTGCCAGGTATTTTAACTGCTGAGATACCCTTATGGTAAGTGTTGCATTGAATGATTTGAGGAGCCTCTTTTGAAGCAGCCGCAGTGAGCACGTGCCTAAATACTAGGCACAAGGGGGCAAATCACAGCTTGAATGCTAGGGCAAGCTACATTAGCTGGCAACACAGAGACTAATATCCTGAAAAGAGGGAAAGGGAAAGAAATGTAATCATTAGTTACTTCAGTCATGTGTTTCTCTCTTTTCGGAGTTATATGCTGTTTGGTTGGGTTTTTGGTTTTTGTTTGTTTATTTGTTTGGTTTTTAAAGTGTGTGGAAGTTCCACATGAGCTTCTGCAATGGAGTGATGAGCATTTAAGGGAGTTGGTGAGGTTAACCTTGTTGGGCTACCTGGAGGATTCCCAGGGGAATATGCGGTAGTATTTCAAAAATAATTTGACCCTGACCTTCGATTAAAAAGTTTGTGCTTCATTATATGTTTCATTAGTCATTGTTGCGTGGGCAGTGCACATTGCTGCTGGCAACGTATAAATGAATAAATGGCGATGTCAATTTTGGGGACTTGATGTCTTTGCAAAAGCTGAATGGAATTTTACAGGCATTAAGGGAAAATGAGGAGGAAAAAAAAAAAAAAAGAAAAAAATGTTGGGGGCATTTCTCTCATTCCAGAGTGCGGGAAGGTGCAAAGGCAAAACAAGATGCAGGAAGGTATGGGTTTTAGTGTCAGAAGGCAATAAAGAATCTCGGGCAATGGAAAATGTTCAGCTAGACATGGAAGTTACTGCCACTGTTACATATATATAAGAATAACCTTATAATCAAACCTTATAATACAAGTTACAAAGTTCACAGGTTTTAAAGCTTTTTCAAACTGCATGAGTGATATGATTTTCTACCAGCTGTACAATTTAGATAACATAATCCTTGTGATTATTTTCAGTTATATCACATGAGTAGGTTGCTAACTCTAAATTACCTTATTTTGATTTTGAGTCAGAAACAGAGATGACTTATGTCATATAGTTGCACTATTTTTAAGAGTTGGATTGTTCAATATAATAGGTTTTGTAATGGGCATTTGTCACTTTCAACAGTTGGGTTTTCCCTCTTCTTCCTTAATGACTTCAATCTGTAAGAAAATCTTTCCAATTCTCAGTATAAAATTTCACTCTATTAGTTTCCCATCCCATATCATAGAGCTGCCTTGATTTTTTGTTGTGGTATTTTTGGGGTTTAGCAAATTGTCATCTGATTTCAGTGGCCTTCAAATTTGGTGACTGCTTTGCTATGGTTTTTTCCCTCAAAGCAGTATTGCAGAAACAAACCTGTTGTACAGCAGTGAGCTTCATTAAAACACACATACCCAATTCCAGGGTCAAAACGAAGTTTGGATGATTCATAGCAAATATCTGAAGACTCAACTAAAAGCTGAACATCTGTCTTCCTTCCTGAGTCTTGTGGTGGGAAAGTCATGTTTGACCATGTAACTAAATATATCATAAAGCATATTCACAAGGGGGCAAGTTAAAATACTTAAATACTAACTCTGGTTTTTGCTGACTTTGCTGCTTGTCCTTTTAATATCAGTAACAAATGTTTTGCTGAATGTTTTGGCTTAATTTCCTTGGCTTTTGAATTAGAGAGCTGAAATATAATCTCTAATGCCTTCCTAAGTTTACAGCATTTGAACACAGAATTTTGGTATTTGTATGTAACAATTAACTACAGGAAAAGCAAAAGAAACAAGATTTACGGACTGACCACTAGAGGAAGCTAAATATTATCTGGTCTTGTGTGGATATATTTGGTTAATTGCATTTTACAGGTAGGATATTGTAAAAATATATCTAGAATTGCAAAATATGTGGATTTCTCATAATGACTCTTTCAGTTGAGTGGTTGAAGCTTGTCTCTGCCACTTGGAAATGTTTTTTAAGCTGTCTTGTGTGGGTTAGGATTGAGTAGTAAATTCTTCCTTAACATTAAAGGTAGTCTAACTGACAGCAGTCATCGGAAGTCAAAAAAAAAAAAAACAAAAAAAACCCAACAACCCAAAAAAACCCAAAAAGCAACAACCAAAAAACCCCACCCAAAACCTGGGATTTTCTACTTCTCTGTTAAACTTATAATCCTGCTTCAGCTGGTGCAGGACAGAGACATGGTTTTTCAGCTTTGAGGCAGACTTTTGTAGGCTGGAGGATATTCTCATGGGAAAGCAGCCATTGTAGAGAAGAAATTCACTGTTCCTCCAGAAGAAAGGCTTATATGATGTAACATGTATGTATGCAAAGTTGGATACTGCTAGATTCTTTGAAGATTATGGTAGAGGACAAAGGCATGGAGAATGCAAGCTTTCAATAGTTCACAGTTTATCCAGATTTTCGTAAGACCAACAAAAAACCCTCCAGATAACATCAAGATTAACTGCTGCATAAGATTAATTCTTTCTGCCTGCTAGAGAGAGATGTTAGGGAGCTAATAACATTTTTCTGACAATTTTATAGGAAGGTTTGTCTGGCAGCCTAAGTGTATAAATGCTATGGGTTTTGCTCTTGAGTTGTTGGCCAGCTTGTAACTGGTAATAGCTACACATTTTCAGTGTTCACTGTAAAATAAACGTTTCTAGGCTCACAGACTTCATGTTCTTCCACCGTAATTAGAGGAATGTTGATTTATACTATATTAAAACATTGCTGGGTCTTAGCTTTTTTTTTTTTTTTCACAGTAGCCATGTTTTGTTTACTTTGTGCCTTTGTGTAGGACAGCAACCGCAGAAATAGTTACATACTGACTGAAGTGAGTGACTTCCATGTGGTATGATTGCTAATATTTCTGGGGTTGGTCTTAGATGTTGCCTGTCAGCACTTCTGTGATCTGAAGATGTCTAGACAAACTGTATTCTCAAAAATTAGCAAACTGCCAGATACAACACATGTAATGTAGCAATTTTGGTGTCAACCTTTTTTTCAGCTCTCTTTGTTTTTATCCTGTAGCAAGAGGTGTAAGTGGTTCAAATGGACAGGATTTCAAACCACAAATATCCAGACAGTTATCGTTTCGAATCTCTGAAAGTGTGATCTCAGAGGCATCATTACCAGTCCAGTTCAGGGTTAGATTATTTTCTAGAACTAATACTTAACATGGCTGTGTGAAAATAAATTTTGGGAAAACATCCAGTCTTTACTGAATACCATGGAAATGTCATGCTATATGTTGTAGTATGTATTTGAAAGGGTCTTTTCTCATTGTCAAGGCTTCAAAAATTTCTAATTCTGATGTGTCTAAACACTGAAAATTTTAGCTTGACAAACTGTTGTGAAGAACTGTATTGGGGTATACAGACAGTATAGTTCTGGGTTTACCTGTTTCTTCATTCATCTTAGTATCTTGAGGCAGAATGCTGAAAAGGTAATGTTGATTTAGCTGCTGGATTTTGTGGAGTGCATAGTTTGAGTTTTGTGGGTTTGGGGGTGGGTGGCAAATTTTTTTTTTGATACATCCAACTATTATGCTCTGTTAGGTTCAAAACAATTTAGAAATGTATTATGCATACACATGTAATTAATTTTACAAAAACTTAGTATCTGTGCTAGATTTTCTTGGAGTTTTCTTACTAATACTGGGAATAATCCCTGTTCCCAAAGGGTAAACAGTAGTGAAGAAATGAAATGAAGATTAGACTATCCTGGCTAATGGAGAGGCTTTAAAGTAAGTTGCATCAGTTTGACTCAAAATTCGTAAAAACAATAATTTACAGAATGGTTTAATGGGTTTTCTTTTTTGTGGCAAAGACTACTGTTCAGAAAACTTATCAGAAAGGTTATTTAAACTAAAGAGCCTTGTCAGTGCTTTCAGTTAATGAACTATTAAGT